GAACCTAGAGAATTTGAAAAAAAAAAAAAAAAGGATTTGTCTTTTTTCTTGTTTATTTATTTAAAGTCCAACTGTCTCTGTCCTACTGGGGAAAGGCTTTTTGAAGGTAGAGACTGTGACTATCTTTTTTTTTTTTTTCCTGAAAATAGAGTCTGGGCATGGAGACATCCAATAAGTACTATGACTTCTCCAAGTCTGGCCCAGATCCATTTTCTCTGCAGAGAACTGCCCCTTTGCCATTGGTCTTTACTGTTCAGCTTGGATTTAGATCTCTCCCTACTCAGTCAGTGTCCCTCATCCTCCAAAGCCCCCCAAAGAATGGCCTCTCTCAGTAGCAATGTGACATTACACTACCACACTTTTTCATTCACTCCTTTACCCAAATCTCACCCCAATTTCAATGAATTTGGAAAAGATTTAAATAACCTAATATTAATCGCAACTAAGAAACTGAAGTGGAGGGAGGGTGGAACCACTAACCCATAGCAGCAGTTACCTCTATCTCATAACTACTTTCCAAGAGGCACAATACTGATCATCTTGATCTTTTAATCCTGTAAACTCTGTATTATTATGTCTATTTTCAACAAGAGAAGACAAAATATCTTGTCTAAGACCACGTAACTGGCAAGCCAAAGACTCATGATTTAAAGCCAAATTGGTCTGACTCCAAAGTTTCCAGGATTAGTTCCACTTATATGTCAGAATAGTTGCACTTACATATTATAAGTGATGTTACCCCAAAGAATATTTAGGGCTTCATATATAACACAGAGAGGTCCAGGAGGCAGAATACACAGAGAATGTTTCCTGTCTTCCTAGTGGATGTTTTTCCCACCTGCAACTTTTAGTCCCATCTTTTCTTGAAACCCCTGGCCTTTATCCAGATGCCCCTCAGGGTCAGTTTTCTCAAGGAGAAAACCTCCTTGAAAATCTACCCTGCTTTTCCAAATCTCGGAGTCTAAGTTTTAGGTAAGAATTAACTTTTATCCCTATTACCACTAACAGACATTCCAACAAGCCAAGAAAAGGGGGAAAAACATTTGAATTCTTTACTATATTTATTAAAGTTAAAATTGACATCATCTTGGGAACCATGAATTTGGTACTCAAGTTAATGTCTTTAAATCTTGGGTAACATGAAAATTCATGCAGCCTTCACCTAAAGAAGCCATGGTGTAGAAAAACATATTCAATCTGATTCTGAAATGAATGTTCAAGGTTTTATGGGAGCATTGCTGATCTCAGAGTGAAGAGCTCCTTCAATGCCAATCCCTCCCCTGGTACAGAGTTTGGCTCTGCAGATTCACTAAACAAGTATGCAAAAGGCTGTGGCAGTCTAAGGACCAAATGTGAGCCCCAAGAGGTCATTGAGGGTCTTCGAACTGCACCAAATTAAAGCACAGCAATCCATCACTTTTTCAAACTATGCATTTTCCCAAGTGAAGAAAGTGACTAGAGCATACTGAAGTCCAGTGTGAATGACCTAATGCTGGTACCTTCTTTTCCTCATTTCCAGTCAAATAGGATCATTGTAAATATGTGATTTAAAAATCAGTTCATTGTTAATGGTTTTATTCCTCACATTCCTGCAACTTAGAGAGTGGTATAAAGATGTGAGCCACTGTCTTCTGCTCTAAATAAAGCCTGAGAACCCTTTTGTATAGTTCTAACAATCCTGTCATTTGGCCCTGAAGTCAATCTCAAATATGTCCAGAATCTTTATGAGGAAAGCAGTGTTGGTTTTAATCTCTATCAGAATGGATTAGACTTATTCTCTGGCTGCAATAGCCCAGCCATTTTTCACAGTCTGATTGACCAAAGGCACTTTGGCAGCAAATTTTATTTGATGCTCCAGAGCAGTTGCTCATCATGTCTTCTAAAGAACCTCACAACTTTCTGGAACTACCTGGGAATTGGGACCAAAAAGGGAAACTATTGGGTCCAGTAATATTTCATGTTTCAGGAAGAGATGTCATGCAGTGGTGCTAAAAGCCAAGGTGTTGATTATTTTATATCCCCTGGAGAAGGCTGTCTGGGTGCTCATAAGCTATTCCTTCTAGAACTAGATATAGAAGTTCCATTTATAAGATAGCTCAGAAAGCTAATAGGGGAAGAATCATACAAGTCATCAAGCTCCACCTACTTTCATTTTTCAGATGGAAGAACAAAAGCCCACAGAGGTGTTACTCAACTAGAAAACATCAGAGGCACTAGAGAAATTGTGTCCCCACTTGGTTGCTCCTGTTACCACATGATGCTATGACCACTGGGGGAAATGATTACTTTCTATAGAGAAGATGTAGAGTTGAAAACATCAAAAGCAAAGAATCTATTTAGATTCTTTGAATTGTAGATAGAGAGCACAGTACTGTGTCATCACAATTATCCTCTGAAAGCTGGGCAGCCTACATATCTCTAAGTCATCCTCATGGTTCCCACTTGATGGTACATTCAGCAGAACCTGAAGATATCTGTAAACTTCCACCTGATCAGCACCAAGCATCTTGCCCATAACCACAAGAAACACTCCTTTCTCTTTAGGATTCCACTTCCTTCTAATTCCATACATCACTTTTTTTTTTGTTTGCTCGTTTTTGCTTTCCCTTTATGCTTCTCTCCTCTCTATCTTAGCTCTAACCAGAGCAGTGCTCGTAGCATTACAGTTACAGAAATGCTTAAGTCCATAGGTAGAACCAGTAAAAATAAGATCTCTACACCTACATTTCTTTAAAGTGAAATATAGGCTTTAATTGTTTTTCAAGTTAATATAAACATGATAAATGAATACACACACACATATATGTATATACATTAACTAATCTAACATATATATATATATATATATATATATATATATATAAAATGGAAGATACTTTTAAATAAAAGTATCCATGCATGTGTATCCCTCTGTATCCATGAGTTATGCACCCATGAATTCAACAATAATAGATGGAAAATATTGTGTCTGTCCTGAACATCTATTTCTTATGGTTCTTTGCTAACCAATTCAATGTAATAACTATTTACATAGCATTTGCATGATATTAGGTATTATAAGTAATCTAGACATGATTTAACGTATACAGAAGGACAAGCTGAGGATGTGGCTCACTGGTAGAGCATTTGCCTGGCATGCATGAAGCCCTGAGTTCATTTCCCAGTACTTCAAATTAAACAAACAAATAAGAGGATGTATGTAGGGTTTACGAAAATAATGTGGCATTTTAAAATAATGAACTTCAGCATCTGCAGATTTTTGGTATATATATATACAGGGTCCTAGAACAATCTTCTCTAGAGAATGAGGAGCAACTCTATGTGTGTGTGTGTGTGGCAATTTATATATAGAATAATGCTTTTAAATTAACATAAGAGCCTTAACAATTTGAATTGCTCATTTCCTTATAAATTTATTTAAAAACCTAAATCATCATCTTTTGCAGAAGACAATATAGAGGATGACATGGAGCTTCCACTTGAATATTTTCCAACTTAGTACATTATATAGGCTAGTCTTTAGGATGTGCACCAGGATTCCTGGAGGACCCAGAATCAGGCTAATACTCATAAATTGTTGGGGAGCCTCCATGAAACTCAGACAACTGTTTTAGAACCTGCACCCTGCCCTTGTTTGTGAATATTCAATAGCTAAAATACACAGCAACATGAGTTGGACTTCAGCTATAAAGTAAATATAATTTTTAGTCCACCTGAGCATTGTGCACATTATAAGTCAGAGAAAAAATATCTATGTTGAAGTCCTTAAGGTAGGAACAGTTGTATACTTATTGCTAAAGTGAGAGACCTGGAATTTACTAAGCAAAAGGTATGAATCAGTCTCATAGTAGGCAAAGCAATTCAAATGGCTTGAGTCTAGTCCAAGAAGACTCACCCCATGTTAGCTCTTTAAAGCTTTTTTTTTACTAGCAGGCCAGTTTACTTCAGCAAAGTCTTAGTTTTAGACAATGGAAGAGCTACACTATTTGTCTGCATCTCCTTCCCCTGTCACTGGTCTTTTAATCCTTTGACCATATTCCATTTTGCTTCACCTGGAATACACTGTGCTTGCAAATAAAGGTGGAGGAGGAACACAGAGGCAGAATTCATCACTGGCACATCTGCCCTGAGGCCAAGGCAGACTAGGACAATCCAGATTCATGTGGTTTCTCTTCCTGAGGCATAGAAGCTGAGGAGAAAAATAGTGCTCATGATTCTGTATTCTTATTTCCCAGTAGAATGTGAAGGACTCAGTAGGGATATGGGAAAGGACCAGAGGGAGGGAATTAGAAGCCAAGGAAGCATCAGGTGGCAGTTTGTTACAGGGATGCCAAGTCTTCTTTGATGCTGTTGGAGAGGAACTGCTGACAGTTTGGATAGACTCACTCCCACTCTTCAAGCTCTGGAGAATAATTATCCATCCTTCCTCAGCAGCTTCAGGAGAACCCTCCCCCAACACCTAAATTACATGTGTTGAAGATGAAAAGTCCATCTCATTAGCACGTAGACTTCTGCTGATAGCAAAATATCTCCATCCCTTTCTCCTTCTTCCCACCCACCACCTACTTCTCACCTCTCTGAACCATCTCCTCCCCCCATGCCTATCTTTTCCCTCTTCAGCCTTTTCTGTTTTGGATTCCATCTCCATAGAGAGAGGACAATTAGAGGCCCTGATTTTAAAGAGGCCAGGCTATCTTGCCTTACCACGGAGCCCTGTCTGTTGCCCTAACCTTTGGGACCATGGGCCTAAATGACTACCCTCAGCTTCCCTATATATTTATTAAGCTCAGTCTTTCCGAGCAGGTAATAGTGTTCAGGGCATCCTTTAAGTTTCCAATCCCTTCCAGTGAGCATCTTCCATTTCTGCGGACTTGGAAGGGAGGGGGTTGGACTTGGGGGAATGCTCACAGAGAAGCATGTTTGTGGATTTGCTTGTCAGAGATGAGTATGGTGTCCTGTGGGTACATGCTAATGGGTCTGTCTCTCTTTCCCCTACACAGGGCCTGGAGCAGTCATTGATGGTGTAAACTCGGCCTCTAGAGCGCTGGCTTGTCTGTGGCTCTCAGGGACCCTCTTTGCCCACTTCTTCATCAAGTTTTGATAAGAAACCCTAGGTCCTCTGAGCAACGCCTGCTTCTCCATATCACAGACTTTAATCTACACTGCGGAGGGCAAACCAGTTTGGGCTTCTTTTTGTTCACTTGTTTCTGTTCTTCTTCTTGATATATTTTTTGGTTTTTTGTTTTTCTTTTAATTGTGATTTTTTTTTCCAGTTGGAATGAATGGGATTGGGGGGAGGGGTGGGCAGGGTTCTACCATGTGTAGGATAATCATTTATTGGTGTGTCCCAAAATGGAATCTGCTCCTGCAATCTTGGCCCTTCCTTTTTGTCTGCTTCTCTTCCCATAATCATTACAAGCAAGCAACTTTCATGCACACATACATGCAGACACACACACACAAACACATACCCCAAAACATGAGTTTCATGTGAGCAAAGAAAATGTGCCTCATAAACACCCTGAAGACACAACTTGATTAATAATATGATACACAGTAAGAGTTATATCCATGTGTCTTGTTACTTCTGTCTCTTGAGCATTGAATCATTTTCTTGATTATAATGTACATATCTTCCATTCAAACGATTGTCAAATCTCATTAGGGTCCATATCTTTTCTTTCTAGAGAGTTATCTCACTATATCCAAATATGTGTATTTGTGTAAGCCACACATATACACAAACAGACACACATACATATAAAATCTTGCCAACTTCTCTAATCACTTTGCCCTATTCATTTTTCTACTAGCTGTGAGCATTAGAAGCTAGGGGCTCCGCATGCAACTAAAAACTAAACATGTAGAAGTCAAGTGACCAAAAGAAAAACAACAACAACAATTAAAAAAATGGGGGAAGTATATTAAGGGGAGTACTTCTCTTTTATAGCACATAAAAAATGATCAATAGATGGCTGTTTAGGTTTTATCAAGTGATCTATAAAAGTAATCATATGGTTATTCATCTACCCAATTGTCTGATTTATCTCTCCATCCAATTGTCTACCCACCTGTCTTTCTCTCTAGTGATCTATTTACTCTATTTATCAATCTATCAATGTAATTATCTAACATGTTTTTTTTTATTTCTCTCCCCACTACTATCAGTTCATCACCATATTAATCTCTAATCATATTGTGTCTATTATACTTTATTTTGTCTCTCCTCTACCATCAACAGACATTGGCATCTTCAAAATTTCCTATCAACTTATCATGTGAAAGCCAATGATCTCACAGGCTAACAACATAGAAAAGCTGTACCCTGTGTCATGGACTCTTTAGAATGTGGAAACCCATCCACCCAAATTAAACCCTGTAAACAGATGGACCAAAGTAGCAATGTAAACCAGTCACTCACTATTCCCAGGAGAGTCTATAGTTGCTAAAACATCTTCTTGGGAAGCAGATCAGCTCTGGACAAACCTTGATTAGTACTGCGTTTCCTCTTTCGTGCTCAAAGGATTGTACTACCAACTTTCATGCTTCTCTCAGCCTTTCCAGAAAGTGCATATCAGGAACTTACAAGACCTTCTTCAAGGCAGATTTTCCTTAGGAGCAAGAACATGAAGGAAAACACACATCTGTGTCTGCAATGTAAAGTCAGCCGTCCATTCTCCAAAGTGGACTACTTCTAAGTGTTTCCTTTCTGTCCCAGTTCTGGTTTGATCTGTTTGAAAACCATCCAGTAAAAAGCTTATGGAGGCCAATTACATGGCGGGTGTGTTGACAACTCTGGTATTTGTTTCAGGAAGCTCTTCTGAGCTGAGGGCACTTGAGCAACTGACTTAATTTCTAAGCACTTGATTAACACAACACTGCAAACAGAAGGGGGAAAGTGTAAGTGACACAGTTTTCTCAGATACAGGCTGCTTCTCTAATGGCTTTGGGAAGGATGTCCCCAGCTTCCTGTGTTCCAATAGACCTAGCATATAAAGAAGAGTGGACCAGATCTTTCCGCATTCTCCTGAAACAAGAAGGACTCAGCCAACAAGGGAGCCTGAGATTCAAAAAAAAAAAAAAAAACAAAAAAAACAGCATTGAAAACCACATGAGGGCATGAGAAAGAGGGGATGCTTTTCTATGCATCAACAATGACTTTCTTACAGACCTGCCCTGCCTCAGTTGGAAATCTTTTCCAGGCCTACATTATAGAGAATAAATATGAACTCTGTAATAGAGTTCCATTCCCTTAGTGCTTAATTGATCTCTTCCTCCAACGTAAGTGCCCTCTTTGTGTTTTTCTGCTATGGCAACATGAATATGACACCCAGAGTGGGGAAATATATGTACAATTGAAGACTGCCTTGGCATATGGAAAGCTAGGCACTGTCATAAGAAGTAGAGCTAATGGGAACAAAATTAATATTGCATTTGCCAGTTGTCAACAGACATCTTTTTTTCCTAGTGCGCTACTAGGAACCAGGTTCTGGGAATATAAGTGATGTGCCAAAAAGAGCCTATTGATTACAACTTCCAGAGACAATCATGAGCTGGCACAAACTCAGAATTAAGGTCAGGCATGGACGTTTCATATCTATTCCCACACTCAGCATCTGGAATTGGGTTGTGTCAGACATTTTATGAGAAATAAATGTGTCATTTGAGTGTTCTACTGGTACTAAATTGTTACTTTGGAGTAAAATAAATGTGAAGGCTTTGGGGAGTGGATGGTGTTGGAGAACATGGTGCTTGGAATGGACAACCTGTACCTGTTCCTCACTCTAAGAACTGTTATGTTGCAAGGGGTCCTTCCTCTGGCCAAGTAGATCATTGTATGCTTTCAAACCCAACAATACTGGGCTTAAGGTCACCATGGAACTCTGCTCTGTCTTGTTCCACTGGATATTAGGAAACATCTCTGATGGATACCTATTCCAGCCATGTTTCAGAGTGAAAAGTATGCTAAGTCCAATCCTCTTCTTTCTAAAATACAGAAGACCAAGAATATAAGACCCAAGGCAACTGGGATACTGGAAGTGAAATGACTTTTCATTTCAGTGGACATATTCCAGCTTCTGTATTATTTGAATCACTTAGGTCGGAATGGCTCCATGGGATGAGAGCTGTTGCCCAATATCTTGAAGTATGTAGTAAATGTTTACTAAAGATGGCATCCACACTTACACATGCTTTTTCAACATTACATATGGAGGGTGGGTGGATAAGGCCTGCTGGACAGATTTGTTCGGAGTGCCAATGGTGGGGGTAAAAAGGGGATAAGGGCAGGAAAAAGAAATATGTCTCTGGGCAATATATCATTTGTGGGTTTAACACATACAAAGGAAACCAAGTGCAGCTTATCAGATTAGGTGAGAAGAATTCAGCAACAGCAGTTATTTGAAACCCTTCCCTTTCCCCAAAGTTAATATGTACTACCACCAAAGTAATGCCAATGAAAGTGCTAGTGTTAAGGCTCCAGCCAAGCTGTTTTTTCAGTAGTTTAATGCCAAGTGCCTGATACAGTCATCTGCAAGTCTAAACAAGTGTATTTAGTTTTTTCTTATTCTTGTTTTATTGGGGAGGGTGAAGATGTAGGGGAGCAGTTGTCAAAACATGCACATATTTTTTATAGAGAGTACAGTGCACAGTATTTTAGCTGCAAGTGTGCTCAAAATGAACAAAAGAATAGGGAAGACTTGGTATTGCAAAGAAGAATGGGTCTCTCCCCTCTGAAATTCACACCTCTTACTGGAGGATACTTTCCAAGTTAGGCTGTTAATTGGGAAGTGTACTCTGAGATTCTTGGAGCTCCATGACTGAGGCAAATTTCAGGGTCTGGGTCTGCATTAAACCTGTCAACTTGCCCTGAACAAGGAGGAGGTAGCAAGTTCTATTTACATTGAAGAACTATTACATCAAAAGAGCAGAGAATTCTAAAGTGGGCAGTTGATCCCAGGGAGAGCTTATTAGTAACATGACATCACAAGTGGATAGAAATTGAATATTTGTAGTGCCAATGGGCAAATTTTCTCTGTAGTTGTAACATGGCTGCCCCATCATAGAAAGAGGGAAGGGAGAGGCTTAAAATGAAGGACCCCTGGTGAAGAGTTTCTTTCCCCAGTTGGACCCTGAGTTCTCACTGAGAAAGTAAAACTGGCTTTGCAATACCAGGACCAGCACTCCCCCAACACACCCTCACCACAAACAAAATTAAGTCCCTTTAGAATTAGGGGAAGCAACAAAGTTTTTCTTTTGTGTAAAATGCATTTTTTTTCTTTTTCTCTAATGGCAAGAATCTCTTTTATATTTATTTTGCACAACCCCCATTCCTGGAAATTCTCACAGCCAAGTGCTTCCCCTCCCATCAAGGTTTCTCTGTCTCTTTCTTTTAAGACAAATAAGTTTGAACAGTTGCGGTAAAACTTCACAGGTGTGTAACTAGGAAGACAACATTTTGAAAGAGATGCCATATGATGAGGACTCCTAATGATCACTGAAAGCAAACAAATAAAAATGCCAGTCTCATTTCCCTCATTTCTTCCTTAAGAGAAGAGAAGTAAATGAAAGGAAGAAGAAATAGTTTTGCAATTAAAAGATGTGGCAAAATGATATAGCTGAACCAGTGCAATTTAGCCTTCAGGTGCAAAATACTTTGAGTCCAAAGGAATGTGAGGTGGACTTAATTAGATGCAATTGTCTTTCTCCTGAAAGTTGTCAGCTAAACCTAATTTCCAGTATTTTGAAACAGATTCCTTTTACCCCCCCCCCCAATGGTGCCCTTTTAAGGCACATAGTTATTTCACACCATTGGGTAGAGAAAGAAAGATTGTGGACCCTTTACCATCCTTGTGGGACTACATTCTATGTTATTTGGCAGATGTATAAGGATATCAATAATCACAATGATAAGTAATAATAGCTGCCCTTGCATTAGTTAAAGGGAGAATTTTTAATCATTCAGAAAATTTTGTGACATGTAAAGTGCAGTTGTGAGGAATGTGTGGGTGTACGAAAATGTATCTGTCAAGTTCAGAGTCCTCTAGGTTTTAAAAAATATATATATGACTTAACAATGGTGCCGTTATAGCCGTGTCCAACAATGGGTGTGCCCATTTTCACAATGATCCTTAAAACAAATCTATGTTCAAATGCTTTAAAAATTTATCACATGATAAAGGAGTATAACTTTGTCAGCCTTCTAGAGTTCTTTTTCCTTTTATTTTCTTTCTTATATATTTTTCCTTCAAAATTCAATGAAGACTTGATTTCTGTCAATAATTGTAT